ACACAATCTTGGAATTAAAATAGGAAAGATGCATGGATGCTGAGGAGCCACAAATAATAAATGTCCATAACTTGTAGAGATGCTAAAAGATTCAGAATTACTGAGTTGTAATATTTATGCTATATTTAAAGTGCTATGAGAGTGGTTGGTGTTTTAAGCCTATTTTTCTGAGAGCGAATGAAGAAGAGAAAAAGCAAGTATATTTGCCAGAAAAATAGAAGGTCTGTTTAGATTTTGGTAGGTGGCAGTGGGATAAACAGGGAAACACTGGGGCGGCTGGTGAAGGAAAGGGCAGAATCAAGAATGGTGCTAGTTTTCTGGTTTGGGGACTTGAATTCATAGAGGTGCCATTTACTGAGATGGGAGCTACAACAGGAAATATCACAACTGGGAGTGGGGATAAGATGATCTCCATTGTGGGCACTTTCTATTCAATGAACCTGTAGGACATTTTAGAGATCAAACATATATAGTGAGCAGATGAAGATTTGGATATACGGTTTTGGGAAAATGTACTAAAAATAGAGACTTGAGTCACAAGTTTATTGATAGGAATTTAATTTTTGGAATTAGATGAGATTGCCCAGTGAGAGTGTAATGTAAGAAGAGAGCAAGATTTAGAACAACCCATCATGGCTTTTTAAGAGAGGTAGAGAAACCCATAAAGCTGAGAGTGTTTGACCTAAGTTGTAGGAGGAAATGCAAAATGACATTTATCTTCCCTACTATGATTTTGTAAATTTCACGTTATATTGAGTACACTGGTTTTAGTGTGTATTAAAATCACCTGGGGTGCTTGCCAAAAAATTTGGTTTCCTAGACTCCCCCATAGAGATTCCTATATGGCAAGTGCAGAGTGGTAGCCCATTCTGTGTTAACAGGCATCCAAGATGATTCTAACGTAGGGGATTCCTAAAATATACTTTGAGAAACACCTCTTTAGAAAACAGTGTGAAATGGCTAAAAAGCAAGGCTTTAGAATCACTTTGCTAGGGTCTTGGCTTTTACCATTTACTGTTTGTCTGACCGGGAGCAAATGGGTGAAAGTTTGTTTTCCCATCACTGTTGGGAATATAGTATATATCTTCTATTGCTTAGAATTATTACCAGGTATGTATGAGATATGTTCTATTAAGTTCTTGACATATAGAAGCTCAGTAAATGTGAGTTGTCTTTTTGACAGCTTAAAAAAAAAACGCAGAACACAGCTGTAAACGTAAAAGCCACTGAAAAAGTAGTAGGACATTGCTCTTATTAGCCTCATGCATTTTGTTTTGTAGGAGATCAGAGCAAACTGCTTTTTACCTTGAACCTACTGAATTAGGATTGTGTAAAATTAAGTTACTGGTATAATAGATTTCATTATCTAGTTTTTCCTGGCAGCCTTCAGTTCTGCAGACATTAAATTCAAACAGCATGATAGAGGTAAGGTTAAAGCATGAAACAGAAGCTAAGAGAAATTTAATAGAGGAACAAATACCTTAAAAATTCTGAGGGCATCAATGTGTCACAATATAAAAACTAATTAATACCCAAAATGTTACTATGTTAAGAAAACAACCTTATGTTTGAAAGACTTATTTGAGAAGTTAGGAAAGTATGTATTTTAGAAAGCTTTCCATTCACATTGATTAACATTTTTAAAAGTTTGGCACTTAAAGGAATAAGCTTTTGCTGTTGGTGAAGTTCACCTAGATAATATATTAGCCTTTCACAGTGCTGGGTAAATGGACTTTATAGTCTTATTTCCTATTTGATTGGCATTTTACTATTTTTGATAATTTTGCTAACAGGTATCCTTAAAACTATCCCGAAAAGCATTGTGGAACTAATCTATATGTAAATTCTTATGACTTACCATAATGATGAAGTTTCTCTCTTCAGAAGAGAATCTAATGTGAAAGAAGAAGAGCAGTGTTGTCTTGTAGCCACGTCAGCCCATTTCATGTCTTGAACGTCTTATCTTGTATTGGCTAATTGGAAACATGGCCACTTCATGGTTATCATTCTGCAAAAGCTATTAGAAAGAGTTACGAGTTTCCTCTGTTCTCTTCAACCTTTCTGGGTCCATACCCCTACCCAATTTTGATGTTTACATAATTGTTTAACCTCAAATATAATCAATCAGCTGAATAGGTCTAAATATTAGTATCTTTTTATAATTTTTACTTGGTTAAACAACAAGTAAAACTTGTTCTGCAGAGTTAGGTCTTTGATGGAATGTTTTCTTTTGTTATGTCTTTTTAGTTATTGGTATTTATTACTCTTCTTCCAGAAAACCCATTTTTCATAAGTTTTATTTTTGTCAGCCCTGCATATTTATCATACTCCCCTTTGTCCCTTCCCTCTCCCCTGATTCTTATTTTCTACCTGCTGAGTGAGCTTTTTAGGGTATATCTGATCTGATTTTCCACAATGTTAGTTCTACTTTTTATCACATCATTTGTTTTGCTACTGCAATTTCCACTTCCTTATACAGCGTATTTGTTCCTTATTTTGCCAGCTTCATTTTAATTTCTACTTGTCTCAGCCTTTTCTCTTTTAATATTACACTGTTTTGTCTTTCATCTCTTTCAGAATCTGTGTTTACTCTTATAAAATATGCAAAGCAATTGACTAGAGTTTACTTCCATTTCTCCTATTTGCTTGTGCTTTCTACTTCTCATGTGCTATGTTGTGTTTCTGTTTTATATATAATATCTTTATGGCATCTCTATTTGTTGTTCCTCTTTTACTTACCCTTGAACAAGTATATGTCTATAAAGTCTGGGATGCTTACCTATAAATTGGATTGTGGCTTCCATTTCTTTTCAGTAGAAGTTCTGATACATAGCCCCACAGCATATTTCTAGGGGGTTTGGCTAAAATGAATCTGCTAGTCCAAGTTGAGGTTGCCTAATTTTGCTGCCTAATTATCTTATTTCTAGATTATCAGATAATCTAGCCCAGAAAGATCTGTTCCCCTCACTCTTCATAACTAAGTCTTTGTAGTGCTGATTTTACATCTCCAGATGTAGACTCCCACTCCTTAGGCATTTCCTCCATTTAAATTACATTGATGAGAATTTTAGACCCAAATTGGAGGTAGAAGGCACAGGTTTTAGGTCAGATACACCCAGTGAGTGGAGCAATTGAAACCTTGCACAGCAAGGGAGCAGCTTTCCTCTAAATCTGGTCCCTGAAAATTCTCTTTCTTCTGGAGTGTTTAGGAAATCTCTCAAAATTGTCCAGTATGGCTTTGATATTTTGCCTCACATTATTTTCACTTTTTGTAGAGAATATTAAGTTCCTTTTGTAATTTAGTAGATCACTGGGAAGGTGGTGTGTAAGGTCTGATAAGGTGTTCTAGTTTTTATCTCAGCAAACCTATAATGCTGTCTGGCTTGTTTCAAGTGCTCGGTATCAATTTGTCTAATGAGTGAGTGAATGATTTAGTCTTTTTTGAGAATTTTAGAAGAGCCAACCATGCTTAACTATTTATTATTTTAATACTTTTTTCCAATAGTTTCCTAGTTAGGTGTCTTACAAAATATATCCTGGGAGTACCAGATACATCCTAGGAATACCATAAAATGTTCTGTGAAAAAAGGATTCCACGGACAAATAATTTTTGGAAATGCTACATACTAAATGTTTCTTTTAGAAGTTTAATTAGTATGCAGATGTACTAAGGGCCCCAAGAAGGCCTGAACTAACAAACTGCTTAACTCTGTTTAATTCAGCAAAATGTTTCCCAAATTGATTTGATCACAGAAACCTACTAATATCTTTGAGAAATTCTGCTGTAATCTTTAAAGTACTGTATAGTTTTTGTGAAAAATGTAGAGTTTATTGTAGAATTCTTTTCATGAAATAAACTTTGTTTCTTCAGACATTCAGAGAGATATAAATTATGACTAAATATGATTAGAGTTTCCCAAGAACTGAGATTTTTTTCTCATTTGATATTTTGAACAAGATATGATCTCTATGACCTTTTAAAAATGTATGTTAGTTACTTCAGGCATTTAACTTGTGTCTTTAAGAAGATAAATCTTTTACTGGTACACCGAACTGAGAAAGCACACGCCACAACATGAAAGCATTTCTGTATTTACCCCAAGCTCAGTAAAAGAGTTTGTCCCTACTCATGGTTTTAATATTGTTTGTTAATTTAGGAAATAAACCTATACCTGTGCAATTTTTCTATCAAATGGTATGATTGGGTGAAGTAGGAAGGTTGACTAATTTTATTTTCAGTTTCAGAATATTAAGTCCTTTGTTATATTCCCACTTTATTTGTCTTTAAAATAATATCTGATCAAAGCTCAGATGATCATTTGCCTTCATCATGTGAGATTCAAATGTGCTTTACTAGTTCAACTGTTGACCAACTGGTTAAGAAACCTTCCTTCTTTTTTTGGTAACTAATGCTTCTGTACCTGCTTTACCACTCTTCTCTGTCCTTATAGTTTGTTTTACCTTCACATGTTTTTCATAATTAGTAGTTTAGTTTTGGTTTGCTTCTTAAGTTTAGAGTTAGATTTGTACCAAGTTAGGGGACCTTTTTTAAATGAAAAGTTTTGTTTTAGAAGCTTCTTTTTGGTGGTGTTGTTGGGGAGGAGGGTAGGTGAAAGGAGATAGTAAATAAAGCCCACCAAGTTTTCAGCTGGACAGATTTTCCCTACTAAATCTGAAAGAGCCACAGGTTTGTGGTGAGTTGTCTAGCAAGTTCTAAGTTGTAGTTCCTGAATTTTTCCTACCCCAAAGTGTCATGTTTCCATACTTCCTTCTGAAAAAGACCACAATCTGCAGACCTCCTTCTTAAATCCAATCATCCCCTAATTCTTCCATGTTTCAGAATTAAAAATGATTTCTAAAAACGTTATCTAACCATTGTATTACTAAAGCAATATGACCAAAAATGTTATTTCCAAGAATTGACAAAGACAATTTAAATAAAAGATAATTGAGCATTAATATGTAATAAATGAAATTCTAACTCGTTTTATCTTCAACAGACAAACAACAGAAAGGTGAATTTGCAATAGATGGCTACAGTGTCAGAATGAATAACACTCTAAGAAAGGATGGGAAGAAAGATTGCTGTTTTGAAATCTCTGCTCCTGATAAACGTATATATCAGGTTGTAGTTTTTATGTTGCCTTGAAATTAAGTTGATAAAATGTTTTGATTAATACTTTTTCTGACATGGTAACAGTAATAAAAATACTGGTGTTTAAATACATTATGAAGTGAATAGTCTTATAAGAGGAATTTTTTTTAAATTTCAGATTAGTTCAAACATTATCTTCTTGAAAATGATAGAGTATAATTTATCAATTACTTCACGTGTTGCATGTATATCTAATATAACTATGTGATCTTCTAAAAGAAACATATAGCAGAAAAAGTAAAATTATCAAAAGAAAAATATCAGAGCGATAATACATATTGTATTGCTAGGAGTGTGGGAGAAAATGAAGGTAAAGGTACATATCAGCTCTGCAATTCAAGAGCTATCAGCTAGGCATCAATGTGGAATGTATGTTTAATAAGTTTTAAATATCTGAGATTGCAGTTGAAAGCCAGTTAATTAAGTTGTCAGGTAGTGTGTTGGAATCTGACAAGAACATTTTTAAGAAAACTGTATCCAGCAGTCTAAAGAAATTCATGGGTGTCTTCTAATTGTCAAGGGCAAATTTTGTTCATCAGTTCTGTCTTTGACATTGATGAAGAGAAGCAGCTTTTTTTCCTGCACAGCTGCCAGCTGCTGATCAGAGTTTCAAATTCATCATCCTCTGCTTCAATTACATAAATTTGTCAAAATTAACTGTACATTATAAGAAGCATCCTTGCAAGAAAAGTTCCCATAGACATGAAAAGAATTACTAATAGTCTTGAGGAAATACTAAGAATCAACATACCTTTCATTTCTACTGTGGTGATTTTCATTTTTATTGTTTGTTTTTATTAGTTTACAGCCACTTCTCCCAAGGATGCTGAGGAATGGGTACAGCAGCTGAAATTTGTATTGCAAGGTAAGAGAAATCAATTGAAGAAGTGATCACAGTCTTTAAATACTAAATAACTGAGTAGTTTGGGTTTTCATATACAAAAGCTTACTGACTTCTGTGAGAATGACCACATGAATGTCACTACAGACACACTGACTTCAGATTTCAAAAAGCATCTTTTCTATAAGTACCAATTGGCTTACTTTATAATTCACATATTTACAAAACAATTTTCAAACATGTTTTTAGTTAAGGACATAACACATAGCAATATTGTTGTTACTTTGTAGGGCTGCATTTATTTATGAATTATAGTTTTAAAAATATCTTCTGCATTCTTTTAAAATTTACTTCATGAAATGTATTTTATAGATATGGAGTCTGATATTATTCCTGAGGATTATGATGAGAGAGGAGAATTATATGATGATGTTGATCATCCTCTACCAATAAACAATCCACTAACAAGCAGTCAACCAATAGATGATGAAATTTATGAAGAACTTCCAGGTATTTACTTTCTGGTGATTCATTTAAAGATTTTAGGGGGGGGTGTGTGTGTGAGAGAGAGAGATTTGTCCTCAGATTGACAATTTGAGTAGAAAATGGTGAGCTATTGAGAAAAAGGACAAAGAATATCTTCAAAACTATTTTACAAAAGAGGTTCTGCTTGAGATATTTCAAGTGAGTAGATGTAACTTATGAAAAGCGAATGAAACATTAAAATGAAGCAGATACAATCCTAATCTCTTGGGACTTTTGGCTCATTAGCATTGTTTATGCTACATAATTTTTTAATTAAAAAATTGACTTGCCTTACAGTTTTTTCCACCAACTCACACATCGTTTTTTATTATACATCTTGAAACTTCCATTAGCCAGAAGTTCTATGCACACCCCATATGTCATCAACTTCTGCCTCGTATTGCTCCTCGGTTAGAGTATATTGCATTGTCTTAGAGGAATGTTGTTGAACTATAAACAAAGGCCTTCTGAGGCTTCACGTTTTCCTGTTGCTATTTTAGCATCAATATGAAATAAAAAAGTTTTCTTATTCCAAATACTCAGGCCTAGTTTAGTGTTTACATGCCTTAGTGTCTGTTACATAACATAAAATTAATTATCTATTAGCTACTTGACTTGTGGTCATGAGGATCAATCTAAAATAAAAAGACAGACATCTGAAATTTAGGAAACATGAAAACCTTCAGGAAATTGTTATATTACTAATACTCTAGGTTGAAAGGAGCTTTTGTGGCTATTAAAAAATCAATAGTTAGAGAGCAAAAAGGTATGATAAGCAGTATAAGCAAGGTTTAACTAGTACATCTCATGTAGAGAAGCCATTTTTCTCTGAATAGAACAATTTAATGATACAATGTAATCCTTTAAAATTGATTGCAAAAATACTTAAAATGTTCCAAATTAACATACAAATGTCATTTTCAGTACTATAAAGCATAATAACAAGAGTATGGACATTAGAGTAAAAAAAATTTAAATTCTGGCTGTGCCATAACTGACTTTGTAAGTTAATTTCTTCATTTATAAAATGGAAATATTATTGGGAGGGGTAGGTGAAGTGATTTCTTGAAGGCTGTCAGCACAGTGCTTGATCATAGCAAGCCCATGATTAATCGTAACATCACTGTCATTTTTGTTTTTATTATTGTATCGGGTGAATTCTTGCAAGTACTTATGTGGTGGTACAATAATGGTTTTCTAACCAAGTAAAAATTAATAATTTTAACAGTATTATAAACAAGATATAAAAACTATGTATGCATCTACATACCATCTTTTACTACCCCAGAAGATTAGTATAAAAGTATAATTTTATGAGGAATAGTGATCTGTGTATTTCAGTTATTTAGTGGAACTACATGTTCTTTAAGCCCTTCCTTTCTGGTTTGCCCTAAGGAAATGACATCTGCTGTAGCATCAGTTATCCTCAAGTAGGGAAGAATATTCCCTGGCTGCTTGTTTTTAGTCATACCATATCATTAATACAATTATTTTAGTCTTTAAGATGTTTAAAAGAACTTGTGAGAATGCATACTCATAAAATGGAAGCGTGGAGTACCTTTAAAGACAATATTACTGTCATTACATGCATTTAAAACCTGCAATAAATGTGTTACATTATAATTGTAGAATTAACTGTTAAGTTCTGTATTTTTTTCAACTTGGCTATTATCTCCTCACCCCTAAAGAAAAAACAAATTGATCAGGAACCAAGACCTAAGGAAGATATGCTGTAAGTGGCTTGAAATTTTAAAGATATGAAACATCTTTTATTTTCTCTTAATCCAGATATTTTTCTTCATTCTCTCCCCACTACCCTCCACATAATTGTTGGAAGTAACTGGTTACTCTTTAAGTAGTGTTACTTCTTGCTGTGGTACTGGGAGAAATTTAAGCTGCTCTGGGATTTCTTTGCCCCTGCTTGGGATCCCCAGTTGCTGTGCAAAGTGATTGAGCTTGATAGAGCCTGCAGCTCTGCCCCTGGGAAGCAAATTGTTGTAGGCAGCTGTGGAATGTCTAGTTCTTCTTTCTTCCCCAGTGTAACTGAGAGCTGCTTCCACATCTGCACAGTTCAGCAAGTTTGTCAAGTTTGTGCCAGCAGCTACAGAAGGGATTTTTCTAGAAAAGGCCCTAAAGGTGTCTCAGAGTTAGAGGTTTTGTTTGATTAAATATTTAAAAACTAAGAAGGTAACTTTTTTAATTTAAAAAATTATCTCCCAGGACAAGAATTAAGCCTATTGCTTTCACTTTTGTGAAATCTGAGTATAATTTTGATAGAGGAGTTAAAACAATGGAAAAGCAGTAAGTACATTTACATACTGTTGATATTTTTTCAGTTCTTTACAAAGAACTATGTATTTCTGATATCTGACTGGCTAAATTCCCAGAATTAAATAATACTACAATTTCAACACAATTTTCTGTCAATTACACATTGTTGAAAACAAATCCTCTTGGTTGAAAGATGAGGTATACAAATGTATTTGAAGAAAAATCTAAGCGTTTAGCACACTACTTTAAATCACGAAGCTCTTTTTTTGAGAAAGGAAAGCTCTTATTCTAATAAGTGTATTTTTTTTTAAAGCTATGAAATAAACCTGCAGTGTTTTCAGTTTCAAGAATAATAATAAGAAAACATTGTGTTAAAAATTGCATTGGGCTGGGCACAGTGGCTTATGCCTGTAATCCTCGCACTTTGGGAGGTTGAGGTGGGTGGATCACTTGAGGTCAGGAGTTCGAAACCAGCCTGGCCAACATGGTAAAACCCCATCTCTACTAAAAATAAAAAAAATATTAGCTGGGCATGGTGGTGGGTGCCTGTAATCTCAGCTACTCATGGGGCTGAGGCAGGAGAATCACTTGAACCCAGGATGCAGAAGTTGCAGTGAGCCAAGATCAAGCCACTGCCTCCAGCCTGGGCAACCAAGTGAGACTCTGTCTCCAAAAAAAAAACTGCATTGCAAAATATCCCTTGAAACATGTTTATAATTCAACAGGAATCTAAATTGTTTCATTGTAATTGTTTTTCATTTAGAATATTCAAACTTTTATTACAGTACCTTCTCTTTAATTTCTTGTTCATTTATTTTTAACTACGGAAAAGAATAGTAATGTTTGTAAGACTTCTTTGTATTTAGGGGATAGATACGTATGTAAAAAGAGTTGTGAGAATGCTATTTCTGAGGAGTATTAAAAGTAGTTGGCTTTTCTTCAAATATCCTAATGGTTTTACATCTTTTATGTCTTAATGCTTATTAGCATAGGCCAGTCAGGTTTGCTTACATTGTGTTTGTACAGCTAATATATTGATCAAAGTGTGTTAAACTGTTTCATAACATGGTAATGAGTTCATTTGGCTTAGCAGAGATTTGTAAATTTCTTGCTCACTTTTCCATTAGAGATACAGAGGAGTGTCTTTGCCTCATTTTGTATCTCAAAAGGGGAAAATAATACTTGGGAAATTGCTGCAGAAACCAACCCTCTTTGCTCTTCCCTTCTACTCACCATGTCACTTGATTTGTTTTCTTTAGTGGTGGCAAGTTGTGCAGGAACAACAACAACAAAAAGATTTTTCTAGCTCTAAACTGAATAGAGAATCCAGCCTAGTAACAAAAATGGTAATCATCCATTAACCTACTAAATCTGTAGCTTTCAGAGGAATTGCACTTGAAATGCCTTCTGGCAAGTGGACTGGAGGAGAAGGGGCAATATAAAACAGGAAGACAAATTTCTATTCCATTAACCTATTTTTTTTTAAGTGTGAATTCTTTTTTTTTTTTTAAATTACAATGACAGATTGAACTATTCTGAGTCAGAAAAGGATATTTTTATCCTTTGGCTATTCAATTACATTTTAAATTTATTCAGTCCAACTATCTGCATCTGAAATGGAACATAAAGTAAAATGCAGCTATAATTTTTTTTCCATGACACTATTATATATATATATAAAAGAACAGTGTTTGGGTACTTTAATTTGAAGTAGTTTACAGCAAATGGACACAAATGCTAATTTAATTAATAAGTGGTTATAGGGCCCCAAAATACATTTTGGCTTTATTTTTCTCCTGAATAATTTCACTCATACTATTAAGTTAATATCAAGGTCACAGGGGACCCTGCAGTCTCTGGCATTAACATTGTTTTAAGTGATTGATAGTAGATCCTAACTTTACCAATTTTTCTTCTTTCTTCTTTGGAATGCAATGGAAAGATGTCAATTAACTTTCACAGAACCATGTATAGTCAGTATTTTAATATCATTAGGCTAGGCAGCCTGCTAACATTATTTTTTCTTAAACTATGGTGCTGAATTGCAAAGTTATCAATGTGGTGATATTGTGGGAATATTTTTTCCCAAGTAGATAACTAGATTAGAGTTAAATTTTTGGGTGGTGATATGGTTTGGCTGTGACCGCTTCCCCACCCCGAAATCACATCTTGAATTGTAGTACCCATATTACCTCCACGTGTCCTGGGAGGGACAAGATGGAGATAATTGAATCATGGGGGTGGTGTCCCCGATCCTGTTCTCATGATAGTTCTCACAAGATCTGATGGTTTTAAAAGGGGCTTCCCCCTTCACTGGGCACTCATTCTTCTCCTCGATGCTGCCATGTGAAGAAGGACATGTTTGCTTCCCCTTCCGCCATGATTATAAGTTTCCTCAGGCCTCCCCAACCATGCTGAACTGTAAGTCAATTAAACCTCTTTCCTTTATAAAATACGCAGTCTTGGGTGTGTCTTTATTAGCAGTGTGAGAACAGACTAATACAGATGGTTTTAGCTCTAAACTCTGCTGAGAGGGTTATCTGAAGTTATAAAAAAAAAAAGAAATCATTTATAAAATAGGGTCACTAAACACATATAATGTTGATTTTTTTATCTTTGCTGAACATAAATGTGTCTTTGCTGAATATTTGTTTGTAGTATTCTTTATGTTGTTTTGTAATATAATATGAAGCTTTGGAATACAATTCTGCCTG